TATATGCAGGCAGTGCGTGGTCAGGCCCCCCCTATATGCAGGCAGTGCGTGGTCAGGCCCCCCTATATGCAGGCAGTGCGTGGTCAGGCCCCCCCCATATGCAGGCAGTGCGTGGTCAGGCCCCCCCCATATGCAGGCAGTGCGTGGTCAGGCCCCCCCTACATGCAGGCAGTGTGGTGCAGTGCAGTGGTAAGGCCAGGACTCTGAGCTGCCTGCTGGGCTGACCTCTAGCCATCTTACTCACAGTGCAACTATGAGCAAGCAACCATTTTCCCACTGTTTCTTGTGTAAAATGGGGTGATCATCAGCACAACAGCAGAGAGTTGTTAGGCTCAGAGTTTGGAGCTGGCAGAGTGTTGCTTGTGGTGCCAAACATTTTAACCACATTGTCATCATTGTCATCATGATCCAGCTTTTTTCACCTTTGTGCTCGACAGCTGGCTATTTTCAGGATTGCAAACTTGGGGTGGAGTTCCAGAGTGAAGAGCTGAAATAAAGAATAGGATTATGTCGTGGGGGCTCCCAGAAAAGACTTCTGCTAATCCGTTCAGTGATTCTGTGTGAGTTAGAAGTCAAGCCCTTTGACCACTGTATGTGGGACCTTCTGTTAGGACAGGACACACTGCCGCCGCGCCGTCACGAGACAACACTGCACTGAAGAGCAGACACCGACGTAGCGCCATGATGGCTACCCCGCAGAGGTGGCACTTCCAGGCCGTGTCATGCTGGCCCACTGTCCGCGGCTGTCCAGTTACTGAACTAAACCTAATTCTGTGGGAGCTTTGGCAGAAGTATTCTTAGAGCTCCCTAGAGTGATTCCAGGATGTTGGGGGATGTTAATGACTGTCCACTTCCAGAAATTCCTTAGAGAAATGTGGCCATAAATGATTTGTGTAAGCTGAGGACATTTGGGATCGTGAGTGTGGACCCCGGAGTCTGCTGCCTGCCGGCCCCTGAAGGGAGCGGCACCTTGCCAGAGCCAGCTCAGCAGACTGTGGGGCCTTCCCCTTAGTCCCGTTAAGAGTACATGCAGGCTTCAAGTGCTGCTAAAGGAGACATTTAATCTTCTGACCCCTTCTGGTCTAGGAAATGCTGTGTAAAGACATGTTCTTTCGGTGTCTTTTTCCCTACAGCTTATTGACCCAACAAGTGAACTGGATCACTAGCATGAACGCTGACTGGCTCCAGGTGAAAAACTTATGTCAGTTAGATTCTGAGGAGAAACATGTTAAAATATCAGCAACTGTTAACACAGTAAGTAAATTATAATTAAAGTTTGGTTAATAATTTTTCAGTTAACAGAATTTTATTTAGAATCCTTCAGAACAGTTGTCTCATCAGATTTCTAAATCTTGAGAAATCAGCTTAATTTTCAGTGTTACATTATTGCTTATTTGCCTCTATAACCACTGGCATGTATTTTCTTTTAAAAGTCCAAAGCCTAGAACTAGACTGGGGGTGTTAAGCTATTTCATTAGGTCCTGTCTGGCTTTGATAAACATGCTGTCTTCAGGAATCCTTTCTTAGTCTTTGGTTTTGTGTTGTGGTGTTTGGGGTTTTTCAGTTTACCTTAAAGTGCTCTGCAGAAACTGCTTTGATAAAACTCCCTGCCCTTCAGAGGGCCCACCTCAGCCCGCCGTTGGACTGCCATACCGGTTTCTTTGAGCGCTGCAGTCTGCATCTTTGCGTAGTGCCTCCATCTGTTGGATATGTTTCTGTAACCGTAAAGAAACTTGGAATGTTTTCTTTCACAAAAACAGAATTTCTCAGAGTGTGCATATGTGAGGGTGCAGCCGAGGGGCAGAATGTGGCCAGAGCACTCCTGCCCAGGAGGCCTTCCGGTCCCTGGGGGCCGGGGCGTCCATCTGGGAGCACAGGAGAGAGCACTGGCAGCTGGGCCCTCGCTGGCGTCACTGTCACGCTGATTGCCTGCGTTCAGCCCTAGAGGCTCTCTGACCTGAACTTCAAAGCCAGAAAAAATGTTCTGAAATAAATTTAAGTAGTGCTTTTGGATTGGTAACGTGGGTGGTTATGATTGTTATAGTGACTTGCCAGTCGTCCCTGAATTCATCATTCTTCATTAAAAGAGATGGCTTACCTCCAGTTTTTCCCCTTTGGCAGAGAGATAGCTGGTTTGTCAACTTTTTGCCTTTGTAGCTAAATTGTTTCAGTGTTCTGTGGGTGTTCTTTCTGTTCCACTTAACATCCATGTGATAAAAATTTAACTATGAAGATTAAGTTTTTGCCTTCAATCTGGTGCAAAAGACAGTGATTTTCAGCGATGGAAAAAGGTATTCAAGTAGGTCGTACAGCTGAATGCCAGGTAATGAGAGCCCCTTTAAGCTGCCTGTACACGCTCCTGTCTCCTCCCCTATTCACGTATCAACTTATACTCGGTCATTAGTTTATTTCTCTATTTTAGGTGGTGTTTGATATTCGAATTAAAGCCATAGAGGAATTAAAATTAATGAAGGAAATAGGTAATCATTTACGTTTGCTTTTTTTTTTTTTTTTTGGTTTAATCTAGTTTTGTTTTGATTTTCAATTAAAAATGGGAGAGTGCAATAGTAACTTAGAGAAAGCTCATGCCCCACACCCCAAAGTGGACAAATTTAACATTCTCTCATTTGTTCATTTCTGTTGGAAACATTGAAAGTAACATGGAAGTCCTCCTCGTGTCTTCCTCAGCAGACCCCTTCTCTCCTTCCCACACACAACCAGCGTGTCTCCTGGGTGTGTGTATGGCGGTGAGGTCCCGGTGTGCACGCTGTGGGGCACTGCCTCTTGGCATGCACGTAAATCCTGTCACGCCAGTGCTTCCAGATGTGCAGCGTGCACTTAACATCGGGTTTCCGTTAACAGCTCTACTGAAATTGGTTTACCTGCCTCAGAACACCCACTGTCAGTGTGACCTGTGATTGTTAACCTGGAGATTTACGCAGCTGTCACCCCAGTCCAGTTTTAGAGCCTTTCTGTTACTCCAGAAAGATCACTCAAGCCCTCTTGCTTTCTGGGCCTCTCATAGTCACTCTGCTGTCTCTGTGTACTTATTTTCTGGACATTTTCAGTAAATCTTTGTCTTTGGTGTCTGGTTTCTTTCACTGCGGTTGCTCCCACACTGGCAGCAGTCAGCAGGGATGCACACTGCTGGCCGCCAGTGTGGCGTGTTGGGGGACGGCTGTTTGGGCTTGTCTCCACCTTGGGCTTCTGGGATCGGTGCTGCTGTGGACATTTACAGTTAAGTCTTTATGTGGACATAGTTTTCATTTTCCTTGGGTAGATACCTGGTGTTGGAATTGCCGGGACGGTTGGCAGACTGAACTTCCTAAAAAACTGCCATTCTGTCTTCCAGCATGGAGCGCTGTTTCCGTTCCCACCAGCAGCTTGCAATTTTTATTCAAGAGCTACTGGGATTGATAAGTGAGTTTAGTAAGAGCTCAAAGTCATCTTGGAAAATTTATGGTGTTTTTCTGGCAACAGAATATGAAATTAATAAAGTATTTATAATAGCATGAAATACTGGATGATAAGTATGTGTGAGACCTGTATATAGAAAACACTGCTGTGAAGAATCCCTGGGGGGCCTGGTAATGAGTGGACGGGGTGGTGGCCCGTGTTCTCAGGCTGTTAAGACGAATTCTTCCAAAATCTGATTGTGCATTCATTATATTCTCACTCAGAGCCACAGTAGGTTTGTTTTTTACGAGATTGATTAGTTGATTCTTACATTTGTATAGAAGTAGGAAGAACAAGAGTAATCTATAAAAATTGTGGGGGGCAGGAAGACAAAGTTGGAAGAGTTACACTGTCTGATTTTAAGACTTTCTCTGAGGCTGTAGTGACCAAGACGGGGCGGCTCAAGTGGAGACTCCTTGGCTGCCGTCATTAACGTGCGTCCAGCCTAGCTAGGGCCTCGCCCTCGTAGCGCTGGTGACGTCCCTGTGGGAGGAAGGCTGAGCGAGCGGGCGGACAGGTGCCACCGTCAGATTCCAGCGCTGGGCCCTACTCCTACGGCCCAAACTTTCTCCCGCGATTGTCATCCCCCCCAGCATCCCTTACATTTCTGTGGCCTGTTCTCCGTCACCTCCCTCTTAGCGTCCGAAGCCTCACTATTAGTGCCCAGTAGCTTTTTTAAGTATGTTGTGTTGTCACGTCATTTACTATGCAATACCCAGCATTTTGCTTTGTCTTTCTGACTGGCTCTTCACATGGAATTCTCGCAGTCTTTCCTCGTGGCTGAGCTGTTCCTGCTGTGGCTACACCCTAGGGCCCTGTCCATGGGCACAGAGGCTGTTTCCAAGGCCTGGCTTTTATAACTAAAGCCACAGGAAACACTGTAGAGCATAAACTTTTTCAGTTGGTGGCTTCATGCTCTGTACGAGGTCCCAGCGCGACCTTACAGTTCCTCTGTTTTTCTTTTTTCAGCAAGTCCAGATCTTTCCACAGTGGCCATACTAGCTGACTGTCCCCCCAACAGAGTGACAGGTCCAGGGTTCTCCATCTTTGCCATTTTCGTGAGTAAGAGATGGCACCTCACTGTGGCTCTGCAGTCCCCCCATTAAAGCGGATGATGAGCATTTCATCTGTCATCTGGCCCCCGAGTATGCTCTTTGGTGAACTGTCTCCTCACATCTCTGCCCATTTATAATTGGGCTGTATTTTGGACTCGTAAGTTTTTGGTATATTTAAGATACTGATCTGCTGTCTGTGGTGTGATGTGCGACCATCTTCTCCCTCAGGAAGATGCCTTTTTAATCTGCTTGTCTTTTTCTTCCAATGTGTGAAAGCCTTTCAACTTGGTGTAATCCCAGCTGTTTATTTTTCCTTTTTATTTCTCTTGTCATATGGGTCAAATCTCTAATAACATCTTTATCATTGATGTCATGAAACTTGCCATTATTGTTTTCTTTTATATATTGTTGCAGTCTTGACACTTTTAAAGCCTCTTTTTAGAAGAAGTTCAGCAATAATAGCGGTTTTTAGAACCTAGAACATTCATAGTGGAACACAGTAAGAATCCTGGTACACAGCGTCAGTTTACACTCATCACAGGTGCCAAGAGGCTTCCCCGGGAAGAGGGTGGCCAGGCGGCGCAGGCTGGCACGCCGCCTGGGAGAAGTGAGCTGTGGCTTGGCCTTGAGTCACGTAACTCAGTGTGACCCTGGTCCTGAGTGTGAAAACTAAAACTAAATTTTAGGCCTCGGGGCGGCTGGCTGGCTCGTGCACTGAGCACTCACTCACCAGTTCTTGCAGACGTTCGTCCACAAAAGACTAAAGCACAGACCAAAACGCCCAGCTGGGGTGATCGCGTGGCCCATGGGGAGCAAGGAGCAGAAGGGGGTGCGGGTGGGGAGCTGAACACATGCACAGAGGCAGCCAGCACCGCCTCGTGCCGAACGGGGGCCATGTCGGAGCCAGCGTGCCCAGAGCCGGGGGGCTGGAGCCGAGCACCGTGCCCCTCCCGCCCTTACTTCAGGTCTCTGGAGGAAACCGCAGCTGTCGTGGCACAGGCTGACCGGAGGGGGCAGGCCTCCCTCAAGGTAAATGGCCACTCACTGGGGGCGCTGAGGGTTTGTATGACGCCCCGAAATGGCACTTAACGCTGGACGTGCTGTGCCCTGAGCCAGCAGCCCCCGGAGGACTGCTGGAAGCACGGCCCGTTACGGCGACTAGCTCACCGTCTCCCGTCCGCGCTCCTGCTCCGCACCCTGCTTCTGAGAGCGAGGGTCTCCCCAGTGCTGCCATGAGCCCTCTGCTGCCACCGCCCGGCCTGCCCGCTGCGTGACTCCCTGCACGTCCGTCGTGGCCTGACTGCCTCTCCGCGGTTGCTCTTCTGGTTCGACTGACGCTGAGTGCCTACTGGACGGCCAGCACTCCAGCCGTCCCCCGCCGGCTCTCCTGGTGCCCAGTGGCTGTGGACTCAGCCTTTCCTCTTTGTCACTCACCGCCGCCGTCACTGGGCCACTGGGTCTCAGGGAAACGGGGCTTCCCGGTGCACCCCCGACCACACAGCCCGGCTCCTCCACACCACCTCCCTCTTGGTGCCCCACCGGCTCCCTGTGTGTACGTGTGCTGGACACACCTCCCACTCGACGAGGCTGCTGTGCCCACTGCTGTCCCGTCTGCTTCCAGAGTGCGGGTCCTGGACACAGAAGACACACAGTGTGGAGTGAGACGAAAACTACCGGGAGGCAGTATCAGAGTACGTCTTCTAGGCTGGATAACTTTGGACATTTCAAGAAGTTTCTGATACTATCATGTGCTAGCTTCACATCGTGGCGTGTAAACACAGAACTCGGGAGCTCGGAAGGAGACTGCTCTGGTCTAAGCCACGCCACGCGCAGGCCCCGGCCTTTTGTGCCTCCTCAGGTTCCACCTCCCTCCCGTCCCATTTGGTCTAAAACCCTGGTGTGTTCCTCCTCCAACCTAGGAATCTCTGCATCCCCAGAACTAGGGCACACTAGCCCCAGTCCACGGGATGGCCTGAAAACCCACTCGCCGCGTCACACGCAGGCAGCGTCCGCCAGGTCCGACGCGTGCGCGCCTCGCGCCCAGCTCGCCCTGTGCCCCGGAGCCGAGCAGCGCCGCCTGGCCCTGGCTCCCCGCGTGCCGGCCGGCGAGGACTCGCCGCAGACTCGCCCAGCTCCCAGGCCCGTCCCCCAGAGGTCGCAGCGCGTCATCCGAGGCCAGCCCTCGAAGCCTGTCTGTGAGGGTCGCTGCCCCTCTGTGCCAGCTTTGCCCCACAGACAGCAAAGTGTAGTGCGGCCGCCTCTGCCCCCAGCAGTAAGCCCACGTGCAGTTTCACAGAAATGAGTAATCAGAATTGGCCCGCGCGGGTCAGCGTGCAGCCAACAAACGAAAGTATGTTAGAGTTAGAGAAGTCGCTCAGCACCAGACACTGCCCCTGCCGTGTCCAAGAGCCCCCAGAGGTGCAGCCAGAGGACACGAGTGAGGGAAGCAGCTGTGACTGACGGAAAGGATGAAGCACCGGAGGAAGTGACACCATCAAAACTCCACATGAAAGGAGCCCTGAGTCCCCCCGGGGGGCGCGGCGTTAGAGCCCGGCGCTGTGAGGCTGTCTGCAGCCACTGCAGCACGGGGTCGATCCCCGGCCAGGGCATCCCCCCAGCAGTGTGCTTCGTTAGTCTGCCTGTTTTGCTCCCCACTCTGTCTCTGGGGAGTCCTCTCACCTCCCGCAGCCTGTACCCCAGTTCTTGTATGCATCAATAAATCATAAAAGAAGAAAGAAAAAGGAGCTCTTCTTGGTTATGGTTTTTAAAAAGTAAAAAAAAAGTCAGTGTTTTTAATATTTTAAATTACAATGTGAATACACTATTTTCTAATTTCACATGTATTAGTGACCATTTTAAATGCCTTCACAGAAATGCTGAAAGGTCACAGAACCTTCCATTTCCGAAATTCAGTTGTCATTGTCTCCCCATGAGACTTGCCCGCAGCCCCTCGCAGGGCGTTCCCACCCCCGCGCCAGCAGGATGAGGAGTGCTCTGCTTGCTTTCGGTGGTCGGGTTTTGTTGGCTTCCTTGGATTTGCTCGTGGAGCCTCTTGCTAGCGGGCACAGCAGGGCAGGTCTCTGGCCGTCTGTTTGGCACTAACTCACTTCTTCCCGCTTACAGCTGAGGACAGCTGTTTGAGGCCCATTGACCGAGACGGGAAGCTGCTTTGTCCAGGTAGGTCTTCGGGGCAGTGCGGCCGCCTTCCCCGCCGGCAGCCGGCCGGTGTCCTTGTCCAGCAGTGACCCCCAGGACCCAGGTTCCTAACTTCCCTCCCAGAAACTGACTCACAGGACGCAGCAGCATCCAGCTGTGTTCTCGGTGTTACAGAAACATGTCGCAGAATTCAGGGGCTTCTGCTTTTTAAGATCGTAACACCCAGCCGATGGGTCGATGGGTCGATCTCACTTCAGTCGTGGCTTTGATACAGCCATCTCTTTCTCGTGCGGCTGTCAGGGTTCTGTTTTGCTGATTTTCCTGTGCCAGCTGCTGGCTCACACCTCTGTGACACAGCCTGTCTGCAGACCAATCCCTGTGACTGGGCTCAGTGGCTGCAGGGAGTCGTCCTCGCGGCTTTAGACCTTGAAGCAGCATGTACATCTTCAGCAAATTGATTTGGATTATCTGACTTTTAATCCATGTAAACAAGTCTGATTTTTTATTAAGTATGGACCTGGAGCATTCATTGCTGTCTCATTTCTTGCCCCTGTTGTACAGCTAACAAGAATATATTCTAGGTCTAGAAACTTCCTATATATTTGTCTTTTGTATGACGTGTAGCTCGTTAATGTTTTTTTGATATCAAAAAAGACTGGTTTTGGCATTAGAGGGGAGCTGATAACATTCATCATGTTATCAAAATTCTTTACAGTGCCAGACAACTATACTTTGAAGGAGGCAGAACTGAAGATGGGGAGCTCACTGGGTCTGTGTCCTGGGAGGGCCCCGACGTCCACTCAGGTAACAGCAGGTCACATGGGTGAGCACAGCCCTCCAAGTCGGTCACTGGCCACAGCAGTGCTGGCTTTCTTGAGAGCTCTTTTTCCTTAAGTGGTTTATTTTATTTGAGGATGACATCCATGTAGTTCTCTGTGTCTGCGTAAAAAAAAAAATACATGTTAAAGCACTATATGTAAGGTTCTTCTGTGAACATGTTACAGTTGAGGGGGATGTTACAGTTGAGTAGCTGCCAGTTTTAGCCACCACACTTCATGAGTTCTGCTGTGCGCCCACCCTTTACTCAAGGCCAAAGGTGAGGCTGTCCATAAAAGTAGGAGTAACCCCCAGGGACACAGGTTTAACTAAGACCATGTGTGGGTTTGGGACCTAATTGCTCTCCGCAGTGATATAATTGTCTCACAACAGCTGCCTTTAGCAGGATTTACTTCCTTCAACATAAGTCCGACCTGTTTAACAAACGCTTACCCTAGCCCAAAGGTTACAGTGGGGCTCCTGCCTTTCGTGCTCTGAGTGGGGGTCCTCAGGTTCCCCAAGGGCCTTGATCCACTACACTGCTTTCCCAGCCACCTCCCCTTGACCCTGCTCCTACCCTGAACCCGACAAGGTAGCAGCATGTACCAGGCTGAGCAGGGGCATGTCAGGAGAGCCAGGCCAGGGAGAGCAGACGTTTTTCCTGTGAGGTCTTGGGAGTTGCGGGGTGTGGTCCTGGGACAGAAAAAGTTTGCAGCCGATGACAGGAAAAATATCCTCAACTCCAACAGTGTAGGTAACGCAAACCCCTTTGACCGAGAAAGATGGAGATCGCAGCGCAGTAGAGGGCGGAGCGCGAGGCAGAGATGCTTCCCTGGGGAAGAGCCCTGGCGAGGAGGCCGCTACGTGTCTGGGTAGCCGAGATCATTGTTTGAATTGTAACATCACCCAACATAGTCTCGTTTTTTCATAACTTAAGATTTTTACTAGTTTCATGGGCCATTGGCTTTCCCTTTCTGGCAGTAAGTGATACATTTATAGAATCTTGTTGAAGTTCACATTAAATTGCATTTACTTCCTTCTTGGTCTCAGCTGTTCCTGTTTTTTGCCGTGGGGAGTGACGTCCAGCCTGGGGCAGAGAGAGAGGTCATAGTAGAAGAAACTATATCTGTGAGAGAGGTGAGTAATTTCACTTTGGAGCAGGCGTGGTAGGCCTGGTGTGTTTGGAGAGCAGTGGTAACTTGCGTTAGGGGCGTGAGGCCCGAAGGTGAGGGCTCCCAAGTATATCTTAAGGAATGTTATATATTCATTAAAGCAGTAGCTTGGAGAGCTTCAAATTTAGTGACCCAACTAGAATTTTTCAAATCAGATTCTCATCTGATTACGAGTAATACCTGATTATAGAAATTTAGGTTCTGATTAAAAGAATGAAAGACCCTCATCCCCGTCCCACCAATACCAGCATCCTGGCCTAAATCCTCCTGGAGCTTTGCTTTATCTACACACATTGTCACACACATGCCAGGCACGAATGTCCGTGAATGTGCTCTACAGTCACATGACGACACTGTCACGGAGAACTGGACTCAGACTTGTGGGACGTGGAGAGCCAGTGCGTGGGGGCCAGACATACCTGTGCCTGGCTGTGAAGAGTGAGAATGAACTCAGTGTGTTTTTTCTTAAAAACTCTTTTTCCAGCTCTGTCCCCTAAAATAGCTCGGAAACCGTGACCAAACTGGTGGCAGTGAGCCAAGCCCAGAGGGTAGTCTCCAAATACCACTTCCTGCCGGAAGGAACCAGGACTTGTGGGAATAGCAGGGTCAACATCCGGGTCAGGAGATGGAGGCGAGCCTGGAGATCCTGTCGTAATGGAAAGGCGTGAGGCTGCAGAAGGCCAGGGGCCCTGATCGGGCTGCTCAGAGAGGACAGGTGGCCCTCAGAGGGGATGACTGTGACGATGCACAAAGCCAGCAGGCTCTCCAGTCTCACGGAACCAGTGGTTACCTCTGGAGGGTGAGGGAAGAGCAAGCACCTGTCTTCTTCTCCCTCTACATCACAGATGCAGAGCAACCGAAGGAGCAGGCCTTCAGGTAGACACTCCAGCTAATGAAATGAATTTTGACCAGCAGTTTCTCATCTCCTAACTGCCGAGATCTAGTTAAGAGAGTTAGGTGATGAACCTGCAAAACTTAGAAACTCAAAAAAAGAGCAAACCCCAGGCGTTCAAAAAGTTCCAAACAGGCCTCGCCCTTCTTGCCAACACAGACACCAGGAGGCGGCCCTGCGCCTCACCAAGCCTAGGGTGAGTTCCAGGTACAAGGACAGGCTGGCAACAGGCCCCAGGTGTAAACTCCCTGTAGGCCAGGGGCTTGGAGAGAAAAGGAGGCAGAAAGTCTGAACACTGCCGCATACTTATTCTTAAGGAATTACTGGATTTTTGAGGAATGTTTATCTTTTGGCGCTGAGGACTGAGTGAGCGATGTGACATCTGGGCATTGCCTCTCAAGAGCAGAGCAGGGCGCAGGGGGGAGCAGGGGTCTGGCGGGGTGACGGGACTCGCACAGACTGGCCTGTGTGTGGGCGCTGGAGACTTTACATGGCGAAACATTTTCTAAATGTTTAACCCTTCATTGCATGCTGTAAACATGCTCAGTTTTTCTTTGGCTTTTAACCTATGTGTTTTTTAATTTCATAGAAAAGAAACCATAAAACCTTTCAAAGGAGCACAGTGTCTGTATTCTCACTTGAGGCCTTTGCTGGGCTCCGGCTCCTCACTGCCCCTAGCAGTCCTGCAGGGCCTCTGGCCAGTGCCCAACAAGCCCTTCTGCCTAAGTGACTATAGCAGGCCCAGGCCCAAGGGGCCTTTCTCACTCTGTAGAAGCAAAGCTGATGATAGCCATTCCTTTTTTGCAGTGTTTAAAGACAATGCTGGAGAAAGCTGGCCTGCCAGGTAAGGCGAGGCCCCCCAGGGCACGCAAGGCCACTCCCTGAAGTGCCTGTTTGCCCTCTGGCTGTTCTCTCTCTCTCTCTCTCTGCAGTTCCCTCTCCAGTTTCTGCTTTACATTTCTGTTCTTACGTGATGAATTCTCTGGCTTCTTGTGTGCGCTGAGAAACTAGCAGATCAGCCCGCCAGTGGGTAGAGAGCCTCGGTAGGGTCCAGCACAGGTTCTTAAGAGGAAGGCCTGACCCTGGTCACCCAGCTCTCTCGCTGACTATCTCTTCACCTCACTGATTGCAATGGGGCACCGAGTGTTTCAGGCTGCTCCCAGGTGGAGGTTGGGGCGCCTTGGGCAGGGGTGTCCGTGGGCACCAGGCGGCACCAGCCACCTGCTCTCGTGCCTGCTCTGCTCTCACTTCCTGGAGTGGGGCGGGGTGTCTGCTGTGGGACCAGGCAGTCTTTGAGCGACTGTCACTTTGCATGACAGTCTTCCGAGTCGGGGACCGCCCGTCCCCCTCTGGCAGGCCACAGGACGGAGGCTGAGAAGGGCTCCGTGGCTCCGCCAGTTTCAGGACCAGGCCCCTCCCAGCCAGCATGCTGTGAAGTCTCAGTGCTCGCCTTTGCCTGGCTGGCGTTGGGGTAGGCAGAGTCCCTCAGGGTAAATGCTGCTCGCCCGTACTTGCCTCTAGAGCCACAGAAGCGGCTGGCAAAGAGGAGGGAAGAGGAGGGCTGGGACGGGGCTGCAGGGGCCACGGCCTGGGCTGTGCCTCTGGCTAGCGGGAGTCACTGTCCACAGCGTTGGCTGGGTTTCTTTTTTAACAATCCAGGCTTAACAATCAGCTCTCCTCCCTTCGGCCCCCTCCAGCTCCCTCACCCCCTCAAAGCACTTCTCTTCCTACTCTATCACTAGAATGTCATTAAAATGCCATTCCAGAAACGTGTTGCTGTGAACAGTGAAGGCGTAACCAATATCACAACAGCAGCATCGCTTTTATTCACCAGCATGCATTTACCGGTGGAATACAGAGCAAATTAACCACACTGAGAAACAACTTACTTTCTTCATATTCTGGACATGTAATTTAACGTTAAATTATTAAATCAAGTCCCATTTGCTATTCATTTATCTAGAAAGGACATTCTTGATAAAGTCTTAGAACACACAGTTTTCTGAGTTTCTCCATTGGTTTGATTCCTCCACAGGAGACGCGTGGCATCTGCGGAAAACGGACTGGTGCTATGAAGCCGGGGAGCCGTTACGTGAGGAGGTAAGGGCGTTTCTGCCTTTCAGCCCTCAAATACTGCATCTGTGTTTTCATCCAGGGTGCTCACTAGGCTGAGTAAACTCTAGAGCAGCTCATTCTGGGGATGGAAAGCCAGTCCTCGCGTGCTTTCACTTTCGCCTTGCTGAAGTTTTGCTAAAGGGTGGCCGGGAGCGGGCGTGTGCCTGACCTGTGTCCGGTCCTCGTGGTGCACAGGACAGTAACACATTGGGAGGCAGGAACTTCAGCAGACATGACCTTGAATCAGTGCAGGCTCTGGAGACCCGTTCTGAGATTTGAGATGTGGGCGTTGTGGCCTAGGTCCCGTCAGTGTCGGCGCCTGTGTGTCCGGCAGCTGGGCCCCAGCCTCGCACTGCCGCGAGAGGAACCTGGCTGCCGGGCGGGCAGCGGACTCCACTGCTCAGGACAGACGGTGTCTAGCCAGATGCTTCCACACTTTCTTCACTGATTCCCAGGCTGCTGTCAAGTAACTCACCTAAGGGCACACTCAGTGTGCCGAGTCTGCCTCCTCGATTTTCCCCTTCCAGACCGAAGTGTGATTTACCAGTCTCACCGCTTACCTTTCAGCCTCCAGTTTACTCTCAGCTGGTAAAGGGCTGTCGCTTTTCCAGCCCCCCCGACCAGCCATGCTGCTGGCCTCCTTTGGGCCTCTGCTCCCCTTTACCCAGTGGGCCCCCCAGGTCCAGCGCCCTACTCAGTTTGCCGTCCATGCGGCAGCCAGCTCGTGGCCTCGCCATTCAAAGCAGCTGTGCGCGCCTCTGCGGCGCTCTGTCCCGTGACCACCCTCCAGGCCAGCTCTCCTCTCCCCAGAACAAGCGGCTGGGTCCTGACCCCGGCACTCTGCACTTGCCACGAGGGAGGCCTCTTCCCGCTCTCCCAGGCCCCCTCCCCTAGTGTGTCCATGTCTCTGTCCTCTGATCTCATGGTATTTACAGGCCCTTCCGCATCGTTCACACGTGCGTAACGATAAACGTACGCACGCTACTATAGCCACTTCCTAGCCAGCATCTGCTGCCTATTCCTCTGTTGCTTGAAGGGGTGCAAGTACAGGGCTACAAACGCAAGATTGTTCTTTCCAGATTGTTCTTTCCAGACATCAGAAGTGACAAAAAGGAATTTCTGTGTTTCCAGGATACAACACTGAAAGAGCTTATGATATGCTCTGGAGACACTTTGCTTTTAATTGAAGGCAAACTTCTTCCTCGGGTAAGATTATTTACACGTTTCAGAATGATTCCTGTTTTCTGGCTACAAAGATGATGCATTCTCATTATGGGAAATACGATCATAAAAAGAGTAGCAAAGTCGTCTAAAATCCTCCAGTGAAACAGCTACCACATTTAACAATTTACGGATTTCCTCCCTAAAATATTTTTAAACAAAATTAAAAACCAACTATGTATACAATCAAATTTCCTACTTTTTTGTGTTTAGTTTTTTAACCTAACCAGAAAACTTAATAGATCTATTAACGGGTTTTTCCGCAACTTTCTTTTAGTTAATAATTTTACATTAGTAAAACTGAATGAAGTCAAGTAATGTTGAAAGAAACGGGCTGATTTGCGGCCCTGGGAGGCACGTCAGCAGGTTGCTGCTTTGTGAAGTTCCGCGGAGCTGCGTGGTGAGCTCTGAGCGCCTGGGACGTTCGTGCCTACGCCGGCGCACACTTGTTTCTGCTTTTCTGCCCCTGAGGTGCTCCCATCGAGGCCAGGCGTCTCGCGACTGGTGGTAAAGACAGGAAACAAGTGCAGTGCGTGGCAGTTAGTGTGGCACCTGGAAAGGAAAAGCACTGCATTGAGAGAGGTTTTCTTACACGGAAGTCAAGTTCGTCACGTGTGTGCTTTGCTCTCCAGGGTTTCCTGAAGGTGCCCATCTGGTGGTACCAGCCTCTGGGGCTCTCGAGTCCCTGGACGAGCCGTCAGGACCACGTGCACTGTCCCCCTGCTCAAGGAGGGGACTGGAGAGCTGCTTCCACCCAAGGTGAGGCGAGAGCCGGTCCGTTGGCTGCCATCCAAAGAGGCCGGGGCCCTGCTGCTCCGGGAGGCTGCACGGGTACCGGGAGCATGAGGGTGGCGGTGGCGTCACTCAGGGTGGTGCAGCAGGCGATGAGGGGCCAGGGAGCCTAGGGAGTTCTGTCACTAGTGTCCTTAGTATTCAAGGAACCGTTAGCCTGCCGTCCCTTCAGGTCCCCTGGGGCCCGGCCAGCGCAGGGCAGGCGCCCCACAGCCAAGGCACTGCTTCCAGGGCTGGCCGCCTCCCTGACTTCTGAGGAGAGGCACAGAGTAGAGAGACGCTGCTGCATGCAGCGTCCTCTCCCATGCAGCCCCAGCACCCGCTGTGGCCGCAGGACACTCGCCGCGGGCACGTCCCCCTGGAGATGGTGCCGCCGCTGCTGCCAGAGCAGGCGTGGGTCTTCCTGACTAACGGGGGCTGGTGATAGCAGGTGGCCATAGGGCCCGCTGCATCTTTTCTCTTCCTCAGGCTTCGCCTAAATTACTTAGTTTTGTTTAGTGCCTTGGAGTGCTTACTCAGTACTGAGGTTTTAAATCAGACTCTCACCTATTTACTGTCTGCAATTGGATTACATGTCAGAACATTTTTCTTGTTGAAGGAGTTGTGAAACCGGCAGTCATCTTTGCTGGAGAGTGTTAGATATGTTCGCTAATTCCAAAAAGGGATCTGTTAATCGAACATGAGTTTGGTGTGCACCCCGAAAGCCTGAGAGTCCTTGTTATTCCCCAAAAAATAATGGAGAAGCTGCCTCTGGGCAGCCCACTCACCAGATCAGGGCATGGCTGGGGAATGTTCACCGTGGGCTTTCTCACAGCGCCGTTCGGCGTGGCGCATCCTCAGGACAGAGACGGCCCTGAAGGGCTTGTCGCTGACTCTTACGAAGCGTCGGGGCTGTGCCCTGTGGTGGAAGGAGACACTTAAGCGAAAAGGAGTGAAACTGCTGAGTTCGGAGTCAGGAGCCACTGACTCAGGGACTCGGATCCCAGGCGTCTCCGGTGGCGCTACCCTGTTTGCGGTCTCGCCGTGTGCGCGCGCTTCAGAGGCCAGGTGAGCTCGCCCAGGCGCCCACCACACGCCTGCTGCTGTGCTCTGCAGGTGCTCCGGGTGCCCTGCAGGCGGAAGTGCCCCTCCACTACCTGGGTGACGTCGAGATCTCGGAAGACGCCACCTTGGCGGAGCTCAAGTCCCAGGTCAGACTTCTTCCTGCAGCAAACCTTGGTGGTGATCTAGCTTCTTCCAGTGAGATATTAACATGTTCTCTATTTCCTTTTCCCTCAACTACAGTCTGTTCTGATATGGCATTTGTTATATGCCATGTCCAGTGGTGAGTACCCACAGGCAGCGCGCACACGGCCGGAGCCTGGCGTCCGTCCTGCGGCGCCGCCCACAGGCATGCTGTGCTCCGTCCGATGCGTCCTCAGCGGCTTATGTTCATTTTGATTTCTTTAGAGAAGCGTGACTTACTGAGGCATCTGTAAAGCATCCACTTCTTTATTTGCATTGTTTTTGTATCATTGTGATTCATGTGCTTTGTGTCGTCAGTTAAAAGACATGTGAGCCATTTCCAGGGTGGGGGCATCGGCCCTCGTGTCAGGCTAACCCAGACACGCCACGCCCCTGTGTCCCGTTATAGAAAAGCAGTTTCTGTCCAGATGGGAAGAAGGGGCTGAAGAGGCGTCTGACTGCGGTTGGACGGAAGTGACCATCCCTTCTTCCTCTTAGAGGGGAACCGCGAGCACGTCACAGGGGCAGTCCTGACACTGGCTGGCCTCACCGTGAAGTGACGGTTGGCTTTTCTTGAGGAAGTCATTGCCCATGAGTGGGAAGATGCTTTTTTTCTCCTTTATATTGGACTGAAAGCTAAAAATAGCTGTGCTAGTTTAGGTACCACATAGACGAACATTGGCCATTCCACAGACTGTCACGTAAACAGAAGCAGCTATCTGCCTCACAGAATTAGAGCCTCACAGCAGGATCGGGAGATCTGAAATATTTCAAAACCGGAGTCATTTCATTGGCAGAGCAAACACTGCCGAGCTCTTTGCGCCAGTCAGAGTAGAGAACGAGCCCTGGTTGGAGCAGTCTCCGCCTTCCGGGAGCGGGACTCCCTCACGAGTTAGCGCCCCAGAAGGAAATGCTAACATTAAAAGGCACCTTTTGAGTCCGACTTGAAAGCAGGAAATTCACTTACTCCTCGAGCGCACTTCCGTAGGGAGGAAGGCGAGAGTGACTCGGTTGACGCCCCCGAGGAGCTAGTCCCGGGGCTCTGACAGGTTTGGGTTCTCTTCCCTCAGCAGTCACTACGTAGCGCTTCCTTCTTCCCTTAGGGGTGTGTCAGAGTGCGTTTTCAGACCCCTGGAGAAATGTCTGTTTCTCTTCTAGGCCTTGACCTTGCCCTCCTTCTGGGACTCTGCCATCCTGTCCCCAGCACTCCTCAGGGCCTGGACGGTGGAGAGTAAGCGGCCCGGCAGGCTCTTGCGTGCCAACCAGCAGCAGCTCAAGTAGGTTCCTTGTCGGACACCCGGCTTCCCTTGACTGTACCCCACCTGGAGGTAGGGAAGTGGCCTTGTGGGGAAGACAGAAGTAGGAAACCCATTCCTTGGTGGTGCTTCTGTCCTGGCCAGATTCTGGGACAGTGTCACTTTTCCATAGTAGCACCAAGGTGGCTTCATTTTTGACTGTGCTCAAGACAGCGAATGAAATTTTAGAGAGCTTTTCTCTAGCTTGATTTGGACACAGGCGACTTGCAACACTGTAACTGAGGCCTCCTGCCACCACACCACACACTGCAGAACGGGGGTCACCAGCATGGCGGGAGTTACCGTTTCTTTCTTGTGGCGAGAGCGTTCCAGACCTAGCAGTGTTGGGTGTCTGGCCCAGTGTCCAGGACGACAGCTGCTGCTCTATAGAGCCTCAGCGTCTGTGGCTTGGAAGCTGCCACTCTCTCAACCCCTCCCTTGTCCCTCCAGGCCCCAAAAACCAGCACCCTGGTACCTTTCAGATCCCACATACAGGTGACGTTACACAGTATGTCTTTCTCTGACGTCACGCGGCACGAGTGCAGTCAGGGCCCACCCGTGTCATCGCAGCGACAGGATGTGGCAGAGTGCAAGTGTCTCCCTCACACAACCTCCGTGAGTACGGAGGTTTCCAGGCCCTGTACCTATGGAAAAGGCCACTGTGAACAAGGACGGCAGCTCTTTGAGATAATTATTTCATTTACCTCAGGTATCTGCCCAGCACCGGGCGAGCGTTGTGGGGTGCTTCCATAATCTAAGTTTTGAAGACCTTTCACATTGTTCTCCAGTGACCGTTTACATTTCCCACAGTGCAGTGGCTCCCTCTGGGCCACGTCCTTTCCAGGTTGGTTCTCTGGCGAGAGGCTGTTGAGACCCATAGTGGTGTGTTTGGGAGCAGGCGGGGGACATCTGCAGATGGCCAGCGCACAACACCCACCTCCACAGCCCTGCTCCCCTCCCCCCACTGTGACAAACGCCGTTGAGGCTGACAGGAGCTGCGCTGTGCTGCAGCTCTCGCTGAGGAGCACGGGCCGTGGTCCGGCCAGTCACCGCATCCTCTTTACTGTAATTTTTCTGCTTCCTGATTTGATGCCTTTGATTTCCACCCAGTGCTGTGCCCAGTCACTGGGCGCGCCGGAGGGCGAGTCAGTGCTCACACCAGCAGGCTGTCGCTGGGCGCTCATTGCAGCCCCACGCGGTGAACGCGTTTCCTCTGCTGGTCTGCTGAGGGGCTTCTGTCATGAAAGGAGGTCAAGTTCCGCCCAGCTTTCTGCGCCTTCGGATCGCCGTGTGAGTGCCACCCGCTGTTCTGTGGCTGTGGCTTGTCACCGGCTGTTCGCCAGGCGCTGACCCACCGTTGCATCGTGGCCCCTGTAAGGAATTACCGAACTCCGTGCTGACGTCTTGTTGAGGATTTTTGCGTCTGTGGCCATCGGGAGATTCTCGTTCTTCATCTCGCCTGGTTTTCACGCGAGGTGACACTGCCCCAGGAGGCAGGCAGGAGCTGCCCTCTGCGATCTCTGAAGACCCGGGCCCGCCCTGTCCATCCGGGGCAGGTGCCGCAGGCCAGGTCTGGTCTCCTGTCAGTGACTCCGCCTCGCGGAGTATACGTTCTAGGAATCTGTGTGTGCCAGGTGGTGTGTAGGTCATTGGCTGAAACTGTTCCCCGTGTTCTCTCAGATTGGAGTGCTCTTTAGCCGCGTACTCTTCGCTTAAGAAAGCTTAAAAGTAGTCCACTGAATGTTACCAAAAAGCAAGTGGGGTGTTCGTCAACAGTATTTTGTTCATTTGTCTTCAGAGAATATAAGCTGGGAAGGAAGACTGAGGTCTGCTTGGAGCTCCTGCGGGAGGAAGAGAACCTGAGGTAAGATGCACTGCACGAAGGATTTTCCCGGAAGTCCCACGTCAGCTCGTGCCCGCCTGACCCACGCGGGCCCGTTGGTGACACACTCACTGTCCCCTCCGCCTGCGCCGCTAGAACGCAGAAGCCTCGGGAGAGCAGGTGCTTTGTCCACGCCACGGCCTGGAACCTGCGCCGTGGCCGGCATTATTGTGCCAGCTGTAGAAAAATCCGTCGGTCATTGTCACCAAAGACAAGCTGCCGTCCTCCTCGCCGTCAGCCTGTGATGTCACATTCTGAGCCCCCTCACCTGCCCCCAGAAGCACTCCGGGCTTTCTCCGCGATGCTGTCCCCAGCCCAGCACGCTGCTGTCAGGTGCTGCTGGTGCTTAGGGGCCAGTGCGAGAGGCGCGTCCCCGGGGCACACAGGCGGCCGCTGTCCTGACAACCAGTTCATGGTGCCCCTGCGCCTTTCTCGCGAGGGGCTTGGGGCGAGGCTTCTCCCGCAGGAAGCGCTCGCAGGAAACAGCCGCGCTGGCACCCCTGGCAGGCTTGTTGCCCAGCTTCCTCTCACCCAGCCCCTCTGAAGGGCGCCTCTTGCTCACCCTGCGCTGTCCTGACCACACCTGACCCACCCGGCTTCGGCCTGTGCACGGCCTGTGCACGCCCGCTCCTGCTCCCCGCCTGCTGTATCGCCCTCTGGGTAAAAGCACCAGCAGGGAAGCAGTTCCTCTCACTACCCTAAGGCGTCTGTTTCTCCTCTGCCTCCCAGAGCCTCTCCCGCCTCTAGGCCGCTCTCTGCCCCCCTCCCAGGACCTTTCCTCCCTGCCTGGGGAGCTGCTGGCACTCCGGAGGCGCGCCCGCCCGTCCCTTCCCATCGAGCCTCACGTTTCGCTGGTACCGCCGGCAGTTCTTGAAACTGAAATTGCCTTTTCTCACAGTTCCTCGCTCTCACACCAGCCTGTCTTAGGAAGTCTGCTCAGCGGCCCCCCGCCCCCCTCCCCAGTGCAGCTCGGCCTCCAGGGGACCCCCACCCCTGGCTGGAGCAGACCCAGACGTGAAGGGTGCCGGTGCCGTGCGCCCTCACCGCCGCCCGCCCTTTGTCTCTGTGCAGCCCCCAGGACGTGCTGCTGCGGACACAGGTGCGCGTCCCCGGCGAGAGGGCCTACTCCCTGGCCCTGGACTTGGCGTGGGACACGGCGCGCGGCTGGACTGCCGGCTCCCTGAGGCAGCAAGTCGCCGACTTCTACTCTCTTCCTGTGGAGAAAACTGCAATTGCCAAATACTTCCCTGAGAAGTTCGAGTGGCTTCCAGTCTCTAGCTGGGTAAAGTCGTGGGGCTTCCTAGAGAAGTCCGGCCTCGCTGGCTGAGCGAGTAGAATTTAAAGTTGAGTTTTCTTGATCCAAGATGCTTGATTTTTCTGTAGAGTCAACAGATTGCCAAGAGAAAAAAGAAGAAAAAGCAAGATAATTTGCAAGGGGCACCTTATTACCTGAAAGATGGAGATACCATTGGCATCAAGGTAAGCTGTTCAGCGACGGATGGACTGCTTTCGGTGACACTCCAGGCTCAGGTGGGGCTAGAGGTTTTACAGGTCTTCAAGTTACCTTTAAGACAAAGCTACGTAAATTGTTTAGAAAAAAAATTACTTTGAGCTTCACTGAGTCTCAGTGGTATATCTTTAATTTTTTTTTAAGATTTATTTCTGCATACAGAACTGGGGTACAGGCCAGAGGTGCGGGGGCAGTGAGAGGCTTCCCCAGAGACAGAGCGGGGAGCAGAACAGGCAGATCGACGAGGTACACTGCTGAGGAGAGGTCTGCCGCGCCATGTGGTCACCTCCGGGGCAGGCGGGGATCGAACTCATGCTGAAGCGGCTTTAGCTTCTCAATGCTGCGCTGTAACCTGCTGCGCCCCCAGGGAGGGTCCGATTTGGGGTCTGATTTTAAGGAAACACTGCTGCAGTCTCCACTGTGCTGCCGCCGGTTTCCAGGGGGGTGGGGTGCCCCTCTGTGCCTTTTCCAAACCACAGGTAGGCACTGGAGTTTTTTGTTTTATTTCTGCTTTTTGTGCCTCTGCCACTGGCCACGTCTCACCTCTGGTCGGGGGTGCCACAAGCTGCCGCAAGCCGGCTGCGTTCCCGGCGGGCACTGCGCAGTGCTGTTTTTTATATCCAGGATTACAGCTTGAACCTAGATTTAAGAGTCTGTATTTCTGAACCAAGGAGCAAGCATTCTTAGTCCCACTTCTCTTCAGCTCTGTACTCAACAACAGCCAGCGAGATGGAAGTGTGAGGTGTGGTGTGGGGAGACGGCGGCCTGGGAAGAGCTCGCAGTCTACCCGATCCACATCGAGTCACGGGCCAGCAGGGACACAGCAAGGCCGGGGCCACGCCAGGTCTCCCCAGGTCTGCACCTGCAGTCAGGCCAGAGAAAGCCCACCTGGGTCCGCGAGGAAGGGCTCGGGCTGGAGAGAACGAGGCCACTTGGCTGGCCAAGGCCGGGCGCAGCTGCAGCTTTGGGGCCGTGGACAAATGAGGTTGTGGCGGAGGCCCGGAAAGAGTATTACGGGAGGAAACACTGAAAATGGCCTCCAAATTCACATGAGCTCCAAGGCCCATAAATCAGCAGCCTCTGCTCAACAAGACTTAGGGGTGAGCACTGGACTTCTAAAATAAAAACTACAGAGAGAAGGGTGGGAGTAGAAATTGGCATTTAAAAGAGAACACGAGCTACCAGCACGAGAAAGACGGAGCGAACGGGGGTTTTGTCCGAGTAGGTGAGAGCAGCGGCTGGTCTCTCAAGGCAGTGACCCCACAGGAAGAGACGGGCGTGCAGGGGGGTCACAGCTGCGTCCTAGCAGCGCCTCGGCCGCGTACTCGCGCGTGTCCGGGGCAGTGGTGCAGGCGAACGTGCACACGCCAGGCGCCTGGCTTGGGGACACCGGGAGCCGGCTCGCCTGCCCTGTGATGGTGTCCTGAAGTGTCGCACACAGTGTGGGGGCGCTTCACGCACCGTGCACGGCAGCGCGCGGCCTGGGCGGGAAGGCCGCAGGGCCGCAGTCTGCCAGGGCTGGCGCAGGCGTCACTGGGACACAGTCCATGCTGAGTGGTGCCAGGGTCCCAGGTGGGCCGGCAGCCCACGTCTGTCCTGCTCTGACGCCACCCCCGCTCCGCATCTGCGTGCGGGCATCAGTCAGCCTGCCCGCCGAGAGCTGCCGCGGACAGCCCAGGGGCCAGGCCAGTGTATATGGAAAATGCTGATTCTCGGCTGCGAGCCCCAGGGAGCCAGGAACTGGGCGTTGGCACCCAAAACCCTGCGTAGAGGAAGTTCTCAGAATTGCAGTGGCTGGTGCCACCATGGGGCAGGGAGCCTGCCCACCCTCTCCCTGACGCCATGTTGGGCCTGCACGGCCCACGCCCTCGTCCAGCCTCTCCGCGATCCCCGCAGCTGTTGTCAGCGCCGTTCTCGTCAGTAACACCGCACGCACCTCCTGAAACGTGGGCGGACATCCGCCCAGGCCGCTTACTCGTTCCTTTGCTGTGTAGAATCTCCTGCTGGACGACGACGACGACGACTTCAGCACAGTCAGCGATGACCTCGGCAGAGAGAGGCAGAAACAGCTCGCTCTGGAGAGAAAGAGAAGGTACTGTGGGGTCCTGACTCCCCCATGGCCCACCTGACCTCCAGGCGGGGAAGGCCCCCCCGGAAGAGCCACGTCAGGCTGTGCTGGCTGCTCTGCACCCCACATTCCCCCGCACTTTCGAGCAACCCTGCCTATGCTCCCTGGGCACCCCGACTCCCCGTCCAACCTCCGCGCTGGGCCTGTCTTCCCTCCTTTCTGCCCACATGCAGCCGCTCCCACTTTCTAGGTGTTTTTGTTCAGAGACCAGCACCCTCAGGTCAGGTGCTCCCCACCCACCGCTGCCCCCACCAGCCACTTCCACCTCCTGAGTTGCCTGGGGCTGCCAGGCTGGGTGGGCCCTCCTCAGGCTGTGCTCTCTCCCTCCCCTGGGCTTCAGGCCACCTAAGCCTACCAGAATCTACTGGAACATCCCACTGAAACCCATGGTCCAGGCCCCACCCGAGGCACATGGTGGTCCTCCCTCACCCACCCGTCTCCTCTTGGGTTTCACTTCTTACCCGAGTCACCACAGCAGCTGTGAAGAAACCCAGCCGCCTGAGCACCTGCCGCCTCCACGCCTAGCTGACCTAGGTGACCGTCGGGTGCGGGGTAATGGCAGCGGGAAGGTGCCCTCTGCTGACGAGTGCAGGTAGTGCAGTGAGGCCCACAGAGGAGGAGCAGGTCCTCGAGGCCACAGCCCAGGTCAGAGTGGAAGTGTGGTCAGTTAGAGGCCACTGGCGGTTCACAGGGAGCGAGGCAGACTCAGTTGCGTTTCTAAATGATCACTCTGGCTGCTGCACAGTGAGTTTTGGGGGGGCAGAAGAGTCGCGAAGACAGGCTGCATTAAGGTGGCTGGGAGCACAGTGGGTGGTGGGGTCCCCAAGGCTCTCCTTTGAATGTTCCACTTGATCAGAAAAGTGGGGGATGCTCCCCCGCAGACTGGCCACCGGGTCTGATCCCCCATGTAGACCGGGAGTAGAGCCCACCCTGCCGGGGGACGGGGTTCCTCAAACTGCAGGCACACCCTTTAGGCCTGAGCTAACCTGATGCCAAAAACTGGGGTGAATTTTGGAGTCGTCCTGCACCCCAACCTGTGTCCACGATAGTAACAGCCTGTGTCTCCCGCAGCCAGGAAGCCGGCCGTGAACAAAGCAGTGATGTGTTCTCTGGAGCAGAGATGACTGCCCAGCCCCGGGGACCAGAAGCTTCTCTTTCCATCCACGTTGGGAGCTTCAGATAGCAAGGCCGCCGGGGGCACCCTCGGGCACAGCAGCCCAAGGCCCGCCCCTGGCATGACTTTCCAGTTGGCACCATGCCAGCAGGTTTGTGGCTTCTGCTCACCGACGCCCGGCTTTGTCGTGAGCAGCGGCTGACCCACCTCAGGCCGGCACGTGCATCGCCAGGCACACTCACGGGTGCCACCACGTGTGCCTCGAGCCACCCGCAGCCCTCACCAGGAGGCGTGGTCCTGCGCCCACCACAGGCCTGGACGAGGCAGCATGTCCTGGCCCTTGACGCGCCTCCTCCCTGCTGAAGTTGCTGGCTGCTTTGGCCTGTTGGCCACGGCCCTGCATGGACGCAGAACAGGGCCAGGCCCTCCGGGACACAGGGTCCGCGCCAGCCTCATGCCAGTCCCCCTCCCCCACGCAGACCCTGGAGCCGGGGCTGCCGACAGGTGGACGGCGAGGGGAGCCAGGTGGCAGCTGGGCGTGGGGCCCACACCCGGGTCTGTGCAAACCTTCCGCTGCCGGGGGAGGTGGGGGGTTGCGGTGACCGTCCCGCGTGGCCTTAGTGAGGTGGGGGAGGAGAAGGAATTAAACTTTCCTTTCCGCTCTGTTGGTGACTATTAAAAGCGTGAATTGGTCTTTGTGGCGAGCGAGTCACTTTCTGCAGCTCCCTCGGCGGGAGCGGGGCTCCTAAGACACGCAGAGCCCCCACGGAGGCTCCCAGCCGCCCGCAGCCCCCACGCGCCGAGACGGGCAGGCGTGTGCCGCTGCGCCCGAGGCCGCTGTGCGGACAGCTGGAGCTGAGCTGCCCTGACCCTTTCCCTCGGCTCAGGCTGCACAAGCGGGTGCGGTGCCAGGTCAGAAACAGCCGCTGGGCCTTCGGGACGCCGGAGCCCTCGCTGGAGGTCCCTGACGGGCGCCATGCAGAGGCCAGTGGCCGCCTGCCTCCCGCTCGCCCTGTGCCCCTGCCGGCTGCGCGGGCGCCTCCCGCGTGCTTGAGGCCGAAGAGCAGGGCTGCTGTGGCAGTGGCGCCGGTCGGCCTAGGCTCAGGTAAGTTCGCTCGTGGGGAAGCGCTGGTGGCAGCCAAGGGACTGGCTTCTTCCCTTCCCGGGAGACGGAGCCGCACGGCAGCTTCCAGAAACCCGCGTCTGCCTGCGGTGGGGGCGGCAGTGACTCGGTGCCTCTTCCTAGGCCTCTGCAGAGGGGCCCAGCTGGGGTCCGTGGACAGGCCGCCGAGGCCGGGGCTTCACACGCGGCAGCTACCCTGCAGCGCGCAACGGCCGCCGCAGGCCCCTCACACACACTCCTGGGGCTGGAGGCTGTGACGGAGCAGCAACCCGTCCCCACCGGTGTGCGCTGCTGGAGGGGCGACTCGGGAGGGCGGGGCCGTGCCAGCCCGCTCCCGCGTCCCGGGGACCAACTGAAGACGGCGCCTGCCCGAAGAGCTGTGAATGCCGGGCGCCCCCCGAGGGCAGCACC